GGGTGGGGGGACACAACAGTGTGGCCCCCGGGCCAGCCACCCCCAAATCCCCACCTTTACCTCCTCCCCGTTTGCTTTGCAGCCCTTCTGCGACGGCACCCACAAGAAAGCGGCCCCGGGGATCCCCCCGCTGCGCTTCACCCCGGAGGAGGACAAGACGGCCTGGCTCTGCGGGTGCAAGCGCACCCGCTCCCCCCCCTACTGCGACGGCACCCACAAGGAGGAGGCCGTACAGAGCGCCCAGCTCTCCGCACAGCCCTGACACGGCTGCACCCCGCAGGGATGGGGGTCCCGGAGCTCGGGACCACAGGGATGTTCAGCCGTCTGGGGTATGGGAGGGAGTGGGGAGGAGATGCCCAGCTCCCACCCCAATTAACCTTAATTACTGAGCCCTGAGGGCTGCCATCAGCTGCAGAAAACCAGCCTCACCCCACCGTGGGGGCAGCAATTTTGCCTTCTGCCCCACTGGGGCCCTGCCAGGGATAATGAAGGCTCAGCGGTGTCTGGGGAAAAAGATAATCCACCGGATAACGGGACTTTCAGAAGTGGTTTTGCATCGCCAGAGCTGCGGGTGCCCATCGGGATGCGGGACGGAGGGACCTGGGCAGCTGCATCTGTAGACACAGACGAAGGGAATGACAGTCTGCAGCATTTATTACATTTACAAAGCTGTATAGTTATACAAATGTTTAACCAATAACGATATATGAATATCAGAATATATTACAAGACATTAAAACGTCGTACAGGATGCAAACATACAGAGCAATTTGGTTTGTACCATATAGGAAAAAACAGAAAACAAAACAACCCCCCCAAGAGCCCCACAGAAACCCCAGACCGAGGCACTTCAGCTGCCTCCCTCAGTCCATTTTGGCCTATTTACAAGGAGAAAAGGGGTGTCAAAGTCGAGACAAATGGAGCCCCCCGACACGCTTCAAGTCCCTCGTCCAGCCCCAACCCAGGGATGGGGAAGAGAGAAACAAAAGGGGCCCCGCAGGGACCTTCCCGGGCCCCGTCCCCAGAGCCCGGAGGGCAGCGGAGCCGGGGGCTGTGCTATAGCAAAGGTGCCGCTGTCGAGTCCGTGCTGGGGGTGCAGTACTTCCAAAAAAATCATTAAAAAAAATTAAAAAATACAATAACAACATCCCATGTTTCCTGACCTTTGGAGTCGGGCTGTTCATACAATTCCCGTGCCGCTTTCCTTTGGTTCTCCCCGTGCCGTTGCGGGTGGCCGCAGCCGCTGCCTGGCCGTGGGGTGCCGTCCGGGCGCTGCAGGCACTTGCTTATTTTTTGTCATTCGTCCCCCTCCCCAGCAAGGGATGGAGAGAAACCCCCGGGGTCTGCGCTCCCCGGGGCTCGTGTGCTTTTTCAGTCAGTGTAGAAAGTTGGTCCCTTACCCGGAACGCGCAGGCAGCCGGTGACGCCAGTGCTGCTCCGCTCCCGCCCGAAACACGGCAGCACCTTCCCACGCTCGCCCCTCACCGAAGCCTCCTGGCTAAAGGCACTGTAGTCTTATTTTTTTATTTTATTTTTTTAAAAACCCAATGTGGTGGCAGGAGGAGAGGGTGGGAAGGACGGGGAGGGGGGGCACAAAAATAAATGCTCTGAAAAGTGGCGCTGAAGCCATGGAGGTGAGCGGGGAGCCCGCAGCATGGGGGTCCCGCCCCCCCAACCGGGTGCCGCACCCACCCTGCGCTCGGGCAGGGCAGCAGCATTTGAAGCCCCTGGGTCCCACACAGACTCACCCAGCGCTGCCAAAGCAGCCCCCGACGGTTTAGATGCCCCCAGCCAAAATTTCCCGGTGGTGCCGGGAGCCGTCGGCACCCAGCACTGCCCATCTGCCCCGGGAGGTGGCAGCTCCCTTGGAAAGGAAAAACCAATATTCAGCGGGGCTTGTGCTCCCACCCCCCGCACGGCCGGGGCGCCCC